TTCTTATATTTATAGAACTAGAACTTAAAAGAATATATTTTGCTATAATTATTTATAATAAATATCTTAAGATTATAGGCTTAATAAATCTTAAATCTATTCATATAAAAGATTATAAATTCTTGATTATATTTAGCTAAGATAATAAAGTCCCGGCTTTAAACTTAATTATTATTAAGGAAGTTATAATTTAATCCGGTATTACCGAGTTTATTATATATTTCTAAGATATCTATTTCTAGCTATATTAATCTTACTTAAATAGTTATATAAAGTAATATGCCTTTTTTATTATAGCTAAAATTATTAATATTTAAGATTTAGCCTTTTCTTTTCTTTATTTTTTTTAGAAAAGTTTTTTTTAGAATATTTCTCTATAATAATAATATGAATTTGCTTTTATAAATATCTTAACTTTTTTATAGTTTTGGCCTTATTAGGGTTCTATTAAGCCTATTTAGTATATTTAAAATATTTTATATTTCCTAAAAAATATTCTTTCTATTTATAAATCTAATAAACTATATCTAAAATAAAACTAGTACTTTATTAAGGCCTTAAAGAAGCCAAAATACTACCTAAAGGTTTTTTATATAATTTTCGGAATTTATTCTTCCTTTTTTAATAGCCTTATAAATTAGAATTTACTAAGTTAGAGTTCTTAGAAATAGAATTATCTTTTTTAGACTTCTTTACCTTTACTTTTCTTAATTTGAAATAAGTAGTATATTCTACTTTCTAAGCTTTCTTAAGCTATTCGGAAATAAATACTATTTTATTTCCTAAAAGAATAAATATAAGTATCTAATAAGTCTTATAATTAGATAAAGTAATATTAAAAGTCCGGATCCGGTTTCTTTTAGGATATAGGTTCTAGTTAACTTCGAGACTAATTATCTAAATATATAATTTAGTAATTATCTTACTATTCTTTTAATAAAGATCTCGGAGCTTCTTAAAAGTATCTTATTAATAGATTTGAAATACTTGAAATATATTAGCTAAATAGGCCTTAAATTACTTCTAATAAACCTTATATAATAATAGGCTTTATTTTATTATAGTTTTCTAAATATTATAAGATTCGTTCCTAAAGGTATTTATAATAGAATTAATTCTAGAAAAGTATCTATTATAAGTCTAAAGTTAGGTCCTAAAAACTATTTCCCAGGAAAATATAAATATTCTCTATTTTTTAAGAGACTTTCTATAATATAAGTCAAGTATCCGGACCTTAAAAAGCTTCTTTTAGTCTAAATATATCTTTAGAATATTATATAATAGCTTCTAATAAATAGTATTAAGATTATTCTTAAAGCTTATTATATTAGGAAAAGAAATAGGTTCTAATCCTATTTCAGGAAATTCCCTAATAGGAATTATTAAGAAAGATAAAATAAACTTATAAATAGAGTTTCTATAAGATATAATAAACTATAAGGTATTTCTAAAGATATTTTTATATTACTCTAATTATAAGATATATTAATTAATTATATTTATTAATTCTTGCTTTTATTAAAGTACTTTAACTTTAGTATATAAGCTCTATTTTATAGCTTAGATAATAATAACTTAGGTATTAAACTTAATATCTTAATTATTACCGGAATTATTTCTATTATTATTACTAGCTCTCGGAGGCTCCTGAGAGGCCCTATTAAAAGTATTAGACAAGCCTTTACTATTACTCGTATTAGGATTAATCTAGTCGATTTTCTTTATAAGAATAGCTCCGGTAAGAGATTATATATTTTATAGATTTCAAGATATAATTACTTATTAAATTACTTTTTTTAAGAATTAAGAAATTAGCTTATAAGATATTTATTAGTAAATAATAAAATAATAAAATAAATTAGTAAGTTATAAAACCATAGTATTAAATTCAGTATAGAACTAATTTCTGTCTCTCCTATAAGATTTAAGGAAGCCCCTTCTAAATAGGAGGCCCCGATAATATATATATATAATTAGTAATTTATAAGCCTAATACTTATAATATAAATAGTAATTAGTTATAAAGTTAAAGGGCCTCCGATCTCCCTAATTAATACCCGCAATATCCGAGATTCATTATATGCCCTTAAGTCACGTGCGACCCTGTATATATTATATTAAAGAGCCAAAAACTAGTCTAAAATCGCTTGGAATACTTTCTAAATCCGGTAAGTATCTCTATTACTATATAGTTATAATTCTTTTTAAATCCTTTAGAAAAGCAAAGTATAAACTATATAAGAAGCCTTTTTTAATTCCCTTATATAAGCAAAAGTATTGGTACTATTATCGGAAAAAAAAAAAAGCCATAAAACGAAATAATTAGAAAATATATTAGAGTAATAAGGTGACTTTTGAAATTAGAGAAAATTTGAGAGGCTTCTGGGTAACTAGAGGAACTAGGAGAAAAGAGAAATATATAGACAAGAATTTATAACCTATATTTAAGAGTAGAAAGACTAGTATAAATATATAGAGTTATTTTTATAGAAATAAGATAGGGCTATTATATATATTACCGGAAAAAGAGAATATAATAATAAAGTAATATAAATAAGTACTTTAATATTTATTTATTCTATTCTATAATAGTATAAGAGAAAAATATAATAATAAGGTTATAATAATAAGGTTATAATAATAAGGTTATAATAATAAGGTTATAATAATAAGGTTATAATATAAGAGAATAATATTCTATAATATATTACTAAAATTATTACTAAATATTTAGAGAATAAGGGAATTAAGTAAATAAAATAGCTATTATAATTACCTAATCTTAATCTAATTAAAAATCTATAGAAATATATTAAGGATTTAATTATTATATAAAGATATATAATCAAAAATATAAAAGAAATAAAAGAAATATTATAAATAGTATAGTACTAGATTAATAGAAACTTTCTCTTAAAACTCTATAATTTTATACTAAGAAAATAAATAGCTTGCCTTAAAAATAAGAAAGAAGTAACTAAATACTAAATAGCTTTAATTTGAGCCTATTTAGGTTATTTAATTTTAAAAATTAAGTAAAATATATTTGAGGCAAAATAGTAATATAAAAATATTATATAACGAAAATTTATCTAACCTAATTATACTAGTAAAGTTTATAAATAAAAAGCGGCCAAAATTATAAAGTTATAAATAACTTAAATAATAAATTTGCGGCTTTAAAAGAATTAGCTTACTTATTAAAAGATTTATTAACTTATTTATAAGCTTTTCTCTTTTTTATTTTCTTTTTATTATTTTTAAATACTTATATATTATAAGGCCTATTACTTAAAATAAGAAATATATATTATAATTTATTAGTTACTTTTTAAAGAAAACTAGAAAATTAATTAAAAGTAATAATATTTAAAATATTTAATTTAATTTAATTTAAGTTAGTTTAATTAATATATTATAAACTAAAATATAATATAAGTAAAGTATAATTTATTAAAAAATAGCCTTTTAGCTTTTTAATACTTTTATATTAAAATCTTTAAATAATTAAAATTATTTTATAAAGAATAATACTTTTCTAAAATTATATAAAATAAATTTTTTTAAAGCTATATATTAAATGTTTTAGCCCTTATTATATAATAAATAAGATATATAATATATATTTTCGAAGTCTAAAAATAAGCTTATTTATAATAAAAAAATTATTAGAATTATTATATTATATAATACTAATTAGAATTAAACTAAAGCTAATTAGATATATAAAATTAAAGTTAAGAAATAAAGTTTAAGTTATATATTATAATTTTATTTAGTAATTTTATAAGCTTATATATATTTTGTAATTATTTAATTTTAAAGCTCTTTTAAAGTTTCTTTTTCTTTTTTCTTTTAAATTATTAAAATAAAAATAATTTAATTATACTTTTTAAACTTTAAATCTTATATTTATAATTATAATATGCGTAATTTTTAACTAATTTAAAATTAAAGCTAATTATATTTTACTTAATTAAATCTAATATTATTTAGTAAATAAAAATAAAAGTACTAAATCTTTTTATTTATTATTAATTTCTTATTTCTTCAAAAATTATAATATAACAAATATAATTATAAAAATACAAATTTCTTTATTAATTAATACTTTAATATTATAATAGTAATTATAATTAATATTAAATTAAATTAAGTTAAGTTAAGTCAAATATTTATTAATTATTAAATATAGTTCTTTATTATTTTATAACTTATTATTTCTTTTTTAGACTCTTTTATTACTTTTATTATTTGACCTTTTAGTGATATTTTATAATAGTAATAAAATAATTAATATTTCGCTATTATATATAACCACCTCGCAAATTCTTTAATCCTAACACCCTAGCACAAGGTCACGTTACCACTCGAAGTCAGCTTGCCTTGCCGCACTGTGCGCGACATTAATCTTACAAGTACAAGCCTCCCTGGGCGCAATGATGGGGTCTGAGTGCAACTTCCCCACGATCCCGTGCCTCCTTCCGTGATTAGTTGGGCTGAACGCAGAACCGCTTGATATTGGCCAACAACAACACATGGCGTTTGCCAAGATCCGAAAACACTTTTCTCCTCCGCAAACAGTTTAGTGGTCCGTGCAAATGCATATGCGGAAAGACATGGCGTAGAAACCAATATTAAGTCTTGCTGCGAGCCCGGACGGCCTTGTCTTCAAGACCATGGCATGTTCATGGGCTGAGCAAGCACGCTTCGCTATTAGTCTTCTCCCCCTGCAGAAAACGCCTAAACGTCGGGCTGATTTCCTTTCTGGAGGACCTGCAGCTGACAATGCATTTTTTGTTGCCGGAATGATGGAGTTCAGCATACCGCCTTCCAGCAACCATGGCTTTCGACAAGCCAAGATTAGGTTGGCTTACGGGGCGCAGATTTGTACGATAAGTAGTGACATCCTGCCTGGTCCTCTTTGGCAGGCCGCTGAGTCGAAAAATGCGACGAGGTTTGGAACGTTGAGCCTCGAACTCTTAAACACCGTGCTAGAGATGCAACACTCATTAATCTCAGCCCTGCTGGTGGGGGCGGCGGTGACGACAGCATGTGTACCCCCGACTGACACCCTATCGAACACGATTACCACTCAATTCGGGATCCTGATTCAGAATCCAGCGTTCCCCACCATTCACGACCGTTACATGAATCTGCTGCCGGCTGGCGGCGGAGACCAACATCTGTTCCTGAGCCCAGTTGCCAACCCGACATTTAAACTTGTGCTTAACGCTGGCGCACTCGCACAGGGTATTATCCACGCGGTTATTGGCGGCGAGGTAAAAGTTTTGTCGCAATTGGCTATCATTGACTAACTCTCCATCTAGTACTCTGAAGTCGATAACACGACCAAGATGTTTATGACGGAACGTGATGAGCCGAAGGCTATCTTCCAGCCAGTCTACGGCTGCGATCCAGACACAGACCAGGTTCAGATTCAGTTGGAGTTTGTAACTTGGGAAACAGAGCCCGCTGGTGGACACATTTGCGTGCGAGTTGCCTCCGGCAACAGGGGTTATGAGTTTCGATATTCGCCCCCAGATAATCCGGGTACGTGAGCTGCACCGAAGAAAGTTCAAACCAAAAATTCTGCGTTAATAATCGTGCGTCAGGACTTGCACTAAAGCCCCTGCGTCCCTGCGGGTTTAGTGCGTATCAGCAATACGGTCGAAAATCAGCAATATGGTCGCTTTTTTCTCCCATTTATCGATTTTAATTAATTAAATATCAACACCATGGCCAAATACAACCCAGAAGAAGGGTAAAGGATGGCCCAGGCCTCCGATCTCTATACCAGGAACCCACACGTCAAAAAATCTGCGATTGCGCGTTAATTCAGGGTAAAATATCGACTCTGGAAGCGCGTTTGGCTAGACGAAAACCACAAAACACCAAAGGGAGCTACAACAAAACCCTTAATCCTGACCAGGAGGAGGGCCTCAAGTAATTTATTGATTTCCTGATCTATTTAGGCTACAAAGCTAATCTCAAGACGGTTCGGGCGGCGGCAAACAAGATTCTGGCGGAGAGCGCGTCCACCCACCAGGCGACGCATGTTTGCGCATAATAATAAATACTAGCTAGAGAGCTTGGTTTTATCAAGCTACCCCCCCTTCCACCTTTATTTTATAATAATGGCTTTGGTAATATAGTTAGATCAGATACTAATGGGGAGGAGATAATTATTAGATATACGAATTAGGAGATAGTGGTTATATAATTAATTGATTTCTTAAAATCGTAGCATTTTGGGGAGGTCGCCGATGAGGTAAAGTATGTAATATTTCCACTATTTTTTACTATACGCATATACAATATAAAAGTAAGAGAATTTTATTTATTAATTATAGTATAAACTCTATATAAACTGAAAAATATTTTTCTGCGATTTGTACTAAAATTCTAAAAATTAGTGTTCCAAAAAAACGACCATATTGCTGATTTTCGACCGTATTGCTGATACGCACTAAACCCGCAGGGACGCAGGGGCTTTAGTGCAAGTCCTGACGCACGATTAACTGACTTATCGCGTTTAGCTTTTGACCCGACAAATCCATGCATGGCGGTGACAATGGTTGTGGTGTCTCCCGGCTCCACGGTCAGCACTTCCACGGCCGTTGGCGGCACAGCAACTACCTCGACCTCCAGTTCTACAATCGGCACTTCCACTGGTCCAGTTATAAACGACCAATGGACGTACCAAGGATGCCAGACCGAAGCGGCCAACGGCGCACGTGCCCTGACAGGTGCCACCTTCGCAGCGGATACCATGACTCTCGAAGCCTGCGCAACTTTCTGTACAAACTTCCTTTACTTCGGCACTGAGTACGCTCGAGAGTGTTATTGCGGAAACTCGTTCAATGCGGGTTCCGTCCCCGCTCCTGCGACGGATTGTAATTTCCCTTGTATGGGCAATGCGCTGGAGACGTGTGGAGCAGGGTTGCGGCTCTCGGTGTTCAAGAAGGGTGCGGCGGCATCTTCGTCATCGTTGCCCACGACCACAACGACGACACCGTCAAGCAGTAGTTCAGCAGCGGCAAGCAGTAGTTTGGCGGCAGCAAGCAGTAGCTCATCGACTTTCACAACATCAACGACCAGCTCGACGGCGGCACCTACGACCACCTCATCCTCAACTTCCATTAGTGTCACTACCAGCACATCCGCCAGCGCCACAACCAGCAGCAGCCCGCTCCCATACACAGACATGACAGCCAAAGGCTTCGCCTTCGTCGGTTGCGCACCAGAGGAGCGCCACGCCACCGATGCTCCGGGACGTACTCTCTCCGGGGCTCTCTACGCCGATGACTTGATGACGGATGGAAAGTGCATGGATTTCTGCACCTCTAAAGGGTACACCTATGCTGGGTCGGAATGGACGCGGGAATGTTGGTGCGGCAATACTGTTGCGCCTGGGAGACAGCCAGCCACGACGGTCGCCAGTTTAGCGAACTGTAACTTTAAGTGTGGTGGTGATGCAACGCAGTGGTGTGGTGGGGATTCGTGGTTGAGTTTGTATAAGGCATGCCCTGTTGGAGGGCCGTGTGTTAATGCTGTATTTACTTGAATGAGAGATAAGAGATGGGAAGGAAATGAAGTCATGAATGATGCCACGAGAGGGGAATAATGGGGCACACAGAAGGACGATGTGCCCTTATTCGATTCTGGCACTCCCTATGCACTATTGACAGATGAAAAACTTTGGGTGACATTTGTCCTCAATAGACGCAATGTACCAGACAACCTCTCGATGAGTTAGTGAAGAAGCATCATGGTCTTCGAGATAAATTGGTGGGATTTTGTTGAATTGGTACTAGCTTACTAGTCCTTCCAGTACCAGGTTCAACTACTAATATTAGCTTCGCCACTCTCATTTATAATGGTTTACTATGGAAGCCTATGGAATAGCTCACTATGGAAGCTCAGGGAACGCTCACTAATATATATGAGTCATCTGATTTATAATATACTGGAGGAAATCGCCACCCACTAGTGGGTATATAAGAACTGTACTTTAGATTCCCTCCTCTCCTTTTTTACTCTTCACTCTCCTGTATCTAGTCATTTTACAGATTGTCAACCTCCAATATATCGATTTTCCATCAATAAATCGATCACTTTTCAATAGATTTCTGACCCCTGCTTTTTTATAAAGATCGAATTACGATATTTATACTATTAATTTGGCTATTTATCTATTAGTAAACTCCGGAATATACTAGAATAAGCAGGCTATAATATTAATATAAAGGCTCTTAAATATCTTATAAAGTACTATAAGTATTACCAGAAATATGGCTAATTACCCGGATAATTCAAGTTTAACCTAAGAGATAATATTAGCTTTAATTATTCTATTATTATTAATATTTTCTATATTTCCGGTAAGCCTATATTTTATGTTATTAATAAAGGTACTTAATATTAAGCCGGCTAATAGCTCCAAAATATTAGTATAATATATATCTGGGATATATTTAAGTAATACTGGATTAATAACTATTTAGGCCCTCCTGATTAGATTATAGCAGATACCGGAAAGCAGTTTACTAGTAAGGAGTTTGCTTAGCTTATAAATACTATAGGAACCAAGGTCAAGATTATTTCTATAGAAGCTTATAATTCTATTAGAATTATAGAATACTATTATAGCCTAATCCGATATATCTATCTTATTATTATGGCCAAAATTAATGGAATTAATAAGAATACTATACTTTAAATAGCTTTTAAGGCCATTAATAACTTTACAGAACCTAATAGCATTATCCTAACTCTTTTAGTTTATAGTATTTTACTTCGAATGACCAAATATAATACCTTATTACTTATTATATTATAGTAATTAGCGGTATTTAAGAAGGTAATAGTAGAAATTCAGAAGCTTTAAGCTAGATATTAAATTACGAACGTTTTAAATACCCGAAATAGTTCTAGTACTACTAATATTTACGAACTATTCCTGAATTCAAATATTCCCGTTTAATATAAAGAGAATACTAGTTAATCTAGTAATTAAAATAAACTATATAAGCTAGTAGCTATTAATAGAGAGAACTATATACTAGCTCTATAATATAGTAATACTATCTTCCGTTTAATCTCTATAAAACCCTTTTATATAAGGGATATTAAGGTTATTACTAATAGCCCCGAATCTAAACTTATTCTCGAATCTAATAATAAGACTAAAGGTAATATAAATATAATTCCTCCTGTTATTTCTGCTATTTTACTAAAGTATAATAGAGGACACTTTTATAAGACCCCGGATATTATAGTATTCCTATAAGATAATGAACTATATAAGAATTCCCGTTAAGTTAAAATTACTAGCCTCCTAGAAAAAGATATATTTGAGATTACTTCCAGATCTCAGATATTAAAAGAGATATGTATTTTCAATTCCCGGTTTATTAATGAGATTAAGAATAAGAATACGGAGAAAGAGTTTAAAAAATCGAGACTAGTTATTCAAGCCTATAATAATAATAAGAAATATATAGTATTAATATAATTACCTATTATTTAATATATTAACTAGAGAATTATTCTTAGTATTACTATTATAATAATAGATATTATAGAATTATATTTATATAATATCTTATAAGCTTATATCTAATTAATAATCTCGCTTAATTATAATTTCTATATTAATTCATTCTATAAGCTTACTAGAGAGCTAAATCTAAAAGATAATTCTATTCTAAAAGTTATAAAACTATTATATAATATACCGGAAGCTAGGAATTACTAGTTTAAGACTTATTATTCTTATTATATTAATAAGCTTTTTATAGAATAATTAACTTATAACCCTTGCCTTTTTTATAATAAATAACTCTTTAGAATTATTGGCTTTTAAACTAATAATATCTTATTTATTAGAACTAATAATTTTATAAAAGCAGAATAACTAAAGCTCTATAAAACTAAGTTCTTGGCTAAGAAATATAAATTCCTTACTTTTAACTATAATCTCAAGTTTAATAAAGATATTATTTATATAAATACTACTATAATTACTCTTATATAAGAATACTAATATAAAAACTTCCGAACTATTTCTATAAAAAATACTAGTACTATAAGTAATAGGAATACTATTTATTAAAATCTCTCTATTAATAACTAATATATTACCTAATATACTAGAGAAGTATATATTATATTAGTCTATTAACTAGAAGCTTTATATAACCTATTAATTATTACTTAAGCTATTAAATCTTCGGAAACTAATATAAAAGTACTTAATAAGTATATTTAATAGCAAATTAAGAATATTACTAGAAAACTAAGATTTATAAAGCTAGTAAAGAAGTTCTTATATTTAATTAATTTTATAAATACTTTATTTATAAATAATAGAAATCTCTTTTCCTAAATCGGATATATTCTAATTCTAATAAATAGAACTAGATATTATAGGAAAGAAACTATAATAAGACAAAAACCTATATAAAGTATACTAGAGTACAAAACGTAACTTAATAATAAAATAATAAATTAAAAGTATAAATAGTAAAGTATAAATAGTATATAATATATAAAAGCTTAATTAGTTAAATATTTATAAGAAATTATTCTCTAGAACTATAGAAAAACTAGCTTTCTTATATGATTTCTGCAAGTTATATATAAAAGACTATGGCCTTTATAATATAACCTAAATTTCAAAACCGCTAAAATAATATAATTTTTAAAGAGTATAGCCTGCTATATTATATCCGATTTCCTATTTATTTATACTTGTCTCCTAAATACTAAAAATAATAGAAAAATCCTATTTAGAATTCAAAATAATAAAATAATTAGGATTTTCCTTTATTAGCTAATCTAATTTCTTCTCTATATACCTAAAATAAGACTTATTATCTTTAAATAGTCCTATTTCATACTTCCGAACTTATTTAAAAGTAATCCGAACTCGCTTAATTATATTCTTATATTAAATCCAATATAATTCTCTATATTAATTAGTATCTGCCTTTAATTATTATTTAATTTCTGCCTTTATTACTAGGTATTAAAGAGGCTTATTATAGTAAATTATATTATAAATTATACTAATATATTCTAAATAAATGACTTTTTCGAATTTTGTATTATTTATAGTATTCTTAAATTAATCTTTAATAAGAAAGAAAAGCTTTAGATAAGAGGCTTTAATAATCTTATAAGAAACTTCATTTTCGTATATTCTATTCTTAATTATAACTAGACTTATTAGAATTATAGTAAAAGGCTTATTAAATAGTAAATTATTATTAAGCTATCTTTTAACTTATATATTATCCGAGAATTAATACTTGCCTATAATCCCAGACTTATAAATTACCTAGCTAAAAGTATTTATTTCTCTAGTTAAATAGATTATATTCGGAATCTTTCTTTCTATTATCTTTAGTAAATACTTGCCTATTTCCTTAGCTATTTCTGGCTCAAATTTATTAGAAATAAAAGAATAATTAATATCTTTAAAAAACTTCTTACTAAAGATAATAGCCTTTTTATAGTTTATAAGAAAAATATAACTAATATTCTAATATTCTTTACTAAGATAGAATTCGCTATTTAAAGCTTTAGTAGTAGCTAGATCTTTAGTATTATCTTTATACTAATTATAATTAATATTTCCAGGAATATAATATCTAGCTAGCTAAGAATAAATAACTAGGTTAATAAAATACTTATTTAATACCTTATAAAATCCGAGTTATATTAATAAATCTATTATTAAGAGTTAAGAGGCTAAGATAAAGTAATTATTACCTAGATTTCTATATTTTAATATATTATTTTTTCGGAAATAAAACTATAGTATTTCTATTTTCTTTATTAAGAGCTCTTAAATACTAAGCTTCTTAATTTACTTTAGGTAATTCTTCTTATAAATATAGCTATTTATATTTAGATTAGTAATACTAGACTTAGAAATAAGAACTATAATATTAAATTAGAACTATAAATTTAGGCAGAATTAATTAGAAATATAGTACTTATATTTATATTTCTTAATTTTCTAGATCTTAAAAAAGAAATCCTATATTTCTTTATTTATCTAAATAATAAAAATATATTTCTTGCCTTTAGTAACTTTATAAATCTTAGTAACTAGCTTTAGAGTATCCTTAATATCTCGTATATTAATAAAGAAAGTATTAGTAAATTAGTAAATATATACTATATAAGAAGCTTTAAGAAATCTATTATTAATTCTATAATATTCTTATTTATAAATAAGTCCCAAATACTATTATATATTTCCTTAAAAATATATTTGTCTTACTAAATAAGTATTAACTTCTATTTAGCTAGTATTTTATAAGTATACTAAATGCCTTTTTTAAGTTCTCTAAACTTAATATTTTTAGTCTTTTATTTCTTAATTCTAAATATAAATATAGAAGTCTTTTTAGATAATATCTTTCTTTTTAGAATAAAGAATTTCTTTTTATTTAACTTTTTGTTTTCCTCTATTTTACTAGCTTTATATTAGGACTAATATTTAGATTTTTGCTATTTTTTAGAAGTTTTAGGCTTAGCTTACTTTCTATTCTTGCCAGGTTCTTCTTATCTAGTTATACTAGTTTTACTAGTCTTATTAGTAGATTTATTACTAGGCTTTACTAAATTAGCTCTATTCTTATTAGCTAGATCTAATTAAGTTAAAGCAGAAATCATAATAGAGGCCTATTCTTTAGGTTTATTTCGGAAAGCAGGAAAAGGCTTATTATTATAAATTCCCTTAATTAGAATTCCGGAAGTATTAAAGATATATTATCTAG